TAGAAGAGTATAAACCACTTTATATTGCTCAAATTTGGGACTTAAGTTTAGGTCTCAAAGGGTACCAGTAGTATTTGAAGGGGAGAGAACCTACATGCCAGTAGTTTGGACCAAAGCCCATGCGAAAGTCACCGTCGTCGTCCGACCGGCTGGCACGGTTCGTGGGCTTGGGTTTAGGTTTGATTTGGACTTGGGCCAAGCTGATATATATTTTTGGTAAAATAATATTTGATTTATATTATTTTATTATTATTTAAAATAATAATATATTTAATTTATATTATTTTTCTTGATTTTTCTGTGTGTGACAAATGGAATCTTCTAGAAGGGCAATTTAGGTTGACAGTTAAACTGCCTGTCCAAACNATATTTAATTTATATTATTTTTCTCGATTTTTCTGTGTGTGACAAATGGAATCTTCTAGAAGGGCAATTTAGGTTGACAGTTAAACTGCCTGTCCAAACGGTTTGTGTCTGCTGAAGACAACTTTTCTGATGTCGTGTCTTTTGGACACAACTTTTCAACTTCTATAAATAGGCATCCATATTTCGGTTTTCATTCACTCAAAAATCAATTCTGATTTTATTCTTCTTTCGAAATTATTCATTTGTCACTACATTATTTATATTTTGCAGTTCAACATTGAAAAATTATTTTCGTGCATTTTAGTCCTCCAATTTTAGAGAGATCAAAACGTGAGTAGGTTCGTCGGGTCTTGTAATTTGTTGTGCTACTATTATAAGTCGAGGGCATTATATTTTGGGAGACGAGTGTCGGAATACCGTCAGCACCAGTGCGGGACATTATCGTCTTAAGGAGAAAGAGTCAAACTCGTCTCGACCAATAACATTTTATAACATTCATTGTGCACGAAGTTATTCCATCCAAATCAATTTACGGTGATATAATTATTTGTCAACAATCTTCAACCATTAAGAATATGAGTTAAGTGTTATAGGATAAACAAATTCAATTTAATTATCGTGTACGTGAAAAGAATCAAAGAAATGGTCAAAAGCAAAAAATATGAGTATATTAAAAAAACTGAGTAACGATATTCAACGCCAATAACTCTTAGCACCGTCTCTATGTGACAATTGTACAATGAATTGGACTTTTCACAAATCCGAAAGATTCCACATTGTATATTTGCCTGGAAATTCATTTTTTCCAATTCCGATTAATGCTTTCTTAAGTCGTTAAAGTCAATGAAAAAAGTACGAACAGCCAATGGATGAAGCCAGCAGAAGAAAAAGCGCAAAAGACCTGTCTAAAGTCTTTATTTATGTCACTTTCCAGTTCTAACCATAAAGACTAGTGTTCTTACTTGCATCCATGGGAAAAACCTTCGAAATTCGTATGTCATGTTCCAAATTGTATTTCTTGGGAGGAATTTTTAGAACCGTTTAGGCTATTTGAATCTCTTGCTCAAATCCGATTGCGATTTCATATTTTCTTTAGTAACATCGATTTGTCCGTAATTTGATTATAAAAAGTGGAGCAAGTCGTGATTATTGGTCTACTCGTTTAAAAGATCAAATCAAGAATCCCATTATCCTTCTTGAAAACCCAGATTTCAAATTCCAATTGAGAATTTTGGTTTCCAAACACTTTTCACAACCCATACCAAAATTCCCATAAAAATAAAATAAAATCCCAAATAGAACTCATAACACTGCTTCCAAAAACCAAAGATCACAAAGAAATCATGCATCCAAACATCAAAATCCCTTCAACAAAAGCACTAATTTCAACTGCAGCCTCTTTGGCTGCGATTGCCATTTTATTCCGGTCCATTGCCAAAGATTTTGTTCCTCATGAACTCAAACAATACATTTTCACCAAATTTCATTACTTTGTAACTACATTCACCAATGACATCACCTTAGTGATTGATGAATATGAAGGCTTCAACAAAAATCAACTCTTTTCTGCTGCTGAAATCTACCTAGGCACCATTTTTAATCCCTCCACCAGAAGATTTCGAGCCTCATTGCCCGAAAAGGAGAAGAAAATCCATGTTTCAATGCAAAGCAACGAAGAACTAACGGATAAATTTTGTGGGTTCCAATTGAAATGGAGAATGATTAGCAAACAAACTCAAGCAAGGCACGTGCCATATCTTGATGAATATTCTTCCACTATACAATCCGAGGTTCGATATTTCGAGTTGAGTTTTCATAAGAAGTACAATAACAAGGTTCTTGGTGAGTATTTGCCTTATATATTGGAAAAATCCAAATCCATCAAACAAGAAATGAAAACATTGAAATTGTTGACTTTGAAGAATCAGATGCACGGTCCCATAGGAAATCCATGGCAGTCTGTGAATCTTGATCATCCATCCACTTTTGAAACTTTAGCAATGGATGCAGAAATCAAGAATATGGTGATTGATGATCTTGAAAGATTTGTGAATAGGAAAGAGTTTTATAAGAAGGTGGGCAAGGCATGGAAGAGAGGGTACTTGTTGTTTGGGCCACCAGGGACAGGGAAATCAAGTTTGATTGCTGCCATGGCTAATTATCTGAATTTTGATGTTTATGATTTGGAACTCACTGATCTTAGGAGTAATTCTGATCTGAGGAGACTGATTATTTCAACTGCTAATCGGTCAATACTTGTTGTCGAGGACATAGATGCTTCCATAGATCTATCAGAGAGGCGACTAGCAGCACCTCCACGGCCACATCGAATGGATCCTCATCAATATAATCAAAGACCCAAAGTATGTTCTAGTGACACTTGAATTAACTCTTTTTCTTGACATGTTCACTGATTGCTTTGTCCATTCAAGAGAGTAAAACTAACATTCTTGTTTGAGTTGCTGCGGATCTAGTTACTTTAGATTTTTCATTAAAATTGCAATCAATCAAACTGAGTGAAGAAAAAGTGGTCGTGTAGCTGAGCCCAAATATACTTGGAACATGGCTTGGTCTGTTGTTATTGTTTATCGATTGCTTTGTTCTAAATTTTATTTTTTTCGGAAAACATAGGTCGCTTTTCGTATTATTATTTATCATGAGTAGCTCATGATTTCATAGTATTTGTAGCATAAATGCAGTTTCTTATGCACTAGGCTTTGAGTAGCCTGATAAAAATATGATTTTTTTTCTTGTTTCTCTGTTCAAAACCTAGAGATTAGTTCAATATTAACTTACTTGGACATCAAATTTCATGAGAATTCCTGCTGTGTCTTCATATAACTGAGATTTCTTGATGTTTAATTTCCACACAGCTTTAGCTCTACTGTTTCCTGTGTTTTAGATCTCTGAGTAGATCTAGTAATAAACCTAACGAAGTGATGAAAAAGGATTCATGTGGCTGACCCCAAATTAATTGGGAAAGAGGCTTAATTTGTTGTATGATTGATAGACTGTGAAAAGCATTTTTTTAATTATTATGAATGAGATTGAGAGTACTGAACCACATTGTATCCATTCTGTTTATTCCAGATTACTTTGTCAGGATTGCTAAATTTCATTGATGGATTGTGGTCGAGCTGTGGGAATGAGCGGATCATTGTGTTCACAACGAATCACAAAGATAAGCTCGACCCAGCCTTGCTGCGCCCTGGTCGTATGGATGTGCACATTCACATGTCCTATTGCACACCGTGTGGGTTCAAAATGCTTGTGTCTACTTATCTTGGGATCACAGAGCACCCACTGATCATGGAAGTCGAGCAAGTGATAGGGACAACCAAGGTGACCCCGGCTGAAGTAGGTGAGCAGTTGTTGAAGAGCGACGATCCTGAAGTCACACTTAGAGGCCTCATTGAATTCCTCGAGAAAAAGAAGGAAAGTGAAGACGCTAAAGCATTCCAAGAAAACCTGGAAGTAACTAAAACAGGAGTTTTGCCAAAGCCGGAGGAAGAAAAAGATGGTGCGAGTTGTGATACAAAGGACGTTAAGAATCTCGAAGGCCTTAAGCAATTTGTCGAGATGGTTAAGGTGTCTCCTGCGAACGCATTAGAGCTGCCAATAAAGGAGGACGAGGCTTCAATTGCATTGAAAGGCCTGACTGAGTTCCTGGACGGGAAAAATAGAGTCAATGGTACCAAAGCTTCTGAGACAAATTCAGGAAAATCGAGAACTGCTGATGTGCAAGAATCCCAAAAGGATGGTGAGAATTAGATGAGTGAAATGTAGTTTTGTTCTAGCAAAATTAAGAGGTAGAGCAACCTCAAATATAAACAATATTGTACCTGAACCAAGTTTATGAAGATAAATAAATATTTCATGTTATATCTTTACCAAGATCTTACAAAAATTAGTAGATAATTTGTTGTTTATGAATTTCCATTTAAGAATATTAATCCATTATCGTTTCTCCTGTATATGAGAAATTTACATTCTGTAAATATTACCTTCTAGGCTGGCTATTTGAATCCACGCCTCCAATCCGATCTGCGATTTTGTATTTTCTTAGCAACGATATTGTGTTGAGAGTGCTTGTAATCTGATCATGAAAAGAAGACTGTCTTCGGTGAATCTTGAGGCATCGACTTTGAAGAATTAGGATGTAGGTGGCCTCCTTTGGTACGCAGTCAGCAGTCGAAAGACACTTTCGCATGCCACATGGCTCCAATGTTTCTCAACGTGGAAATAGTTTCTTGGTACATTTTTATTTCAATTTCCTCATATATACATATATGTCAAAGCTTGGTTGATTGCAGAGATATTCGATAGTATATAATTCAGCCCTTAACTATGAGCATGTGAGCAATCATGTCAAAAGAAGCTAAAAGTAACACTGGAAATGGCAAGAGAATTTACCATCTAGCAAATTGATGATCAAGATTCTGCTCACTGATGCACTATGCCTTGAAGCTTCGGCTGCACTGGATCATACCTCGAGCAGAGGCAAGATCATGTCGATGGCTAAGTACCTTCGGGAAGACCAACTATTTCTTAACCACATCGGTGAAGCCTAATTCAAAATGAACTCAACAATTGTCATGCCACATCAATGCAAACAGTAACTCAAGGGCATTACCACGTTTTTAACCAGCCATTGAACTTCATTGTCTCAATGCCCTCTCAGTTTATGTTTCTCAGCATCAAAATGAAGAAAAGAAGCTTAAATACTACTTTTCTAAGATCCAACGTACAAAAGCAAACTGATCGCACACTAAATTAATCCATCCCCGATAAGATCACAGGATTCCATGAAAACAAGGTCCTCAGTACAAATTTTGCCTTGCAGCATGTAATAGCATCGAAAGTGTAAGCAACTGAGAAAAATGAACCAAACGGGTAGCACGGAAGAAAACCTCAAAAAAGTGTACGAGTATCATTAGAGAAAGGAAAAAAGCGAAGAGTACTTCCAACATCACAACAAAAGGAGAGAAAAATCAAGTTGATTACATGATCTAAAATGACCTTAAAACCCCCAGTTCTATATGAAACTAAGGACAGTAAGCTTCTAGATACTTAGTAGTTAAGCACGGCCATTTTGTAATTCATTAGTTGAAGACAAGTTTGTAAATACCAGCATTGCCTGCAACATTGTAAAAGAAATTAAAGTGATTAATAATTCATTAGTGACGTGTTTGGTAAGTTGGACTCGACAATATTAAGAGCATGTTTGGCTAAACTTAAAATCCAATTAAAATTGAAAATATAGTCTTTATTAGGTCCCACTCGTCTAATAAAAGTTAACAATAACGACTAATTTTTCAATTTTAATTCAATTTCAATAAAATTTCTTTAAAGATGAGAAAGAAATTTTGTCTGTAGTAGCGTTCAACCTTGTCTGATACTATGAACCAAACATTCATTAGTAATTTTGATGAACATAATACTTTCAAACCTCACTTAACACGTCTAAAGTTAACTCCAAGGTGAAATTTTCATATAATTATTTGAAAACGTACTTTATGATCCCTTACCTCAAAACGTGCTTAATCGAAAGTGAAAAACATAAACCGGCACAAGTGAAGATTTTTGGTTCAGAAAGGTGCTTTCAAACGATACAAATTATAAACAGGAGTAGAGAACTTACCTCAAAAATAAGATGAAAAGAACAGTTTCCATATGATCCCTCTCTCACTTGTAAAGAAAACCCGCAAGTCTATACTGCCATTTTCATTTCTATTTTCTCATGAGGATCATACCCAATAAGCTTGAAATCAGCAGCAACAAAGGAATCAATATCCTTCTTCTCAGAATTGATCTTCAGCAACTGCTCATTTATATTATCAATTAGATCAAGGGAAGTGGAAGACATCGAGCATATTTTGCTAAGCTTTAAACAAATTAAAGTTACTTTGTCGGCAAAAATATTTGGACAGATAATTTTACCATACTTTTAAGTAAAAAAAGATACTTCTTTCGGAAGTAACTTTAACCTTACTTTCGAACAAGTAACTTAATTTCAAAGAAAATTATTTATTTTAAAACTTTCTTATTCACTTATAAATTCACTTTTAAGCATAGACGAACATGCCGTAACATATGCCAATTCATGAACATCCTAGATTCCGCTCTCCCACATCTAGCTATACACACATGATACTCACAGGAAAAGGTCTAGGTTTCTTTAGAAGCTGGTCCTGCAGAGGTCTGATGTGAGTGCGATAAATATGAGTGTCCCCAATCACATGGACAAAGTCACCAGGAGAAAGATCTGTACAAGAATTTGGACATTGAGTCTGAAGTTAATCAACATACAACAAGCAGGCAAATAGATATGTTTGTTATCAATTTACAGACAAATAATTAAACATGTAGGGATGTTCAGTGTTTATGTCTGATGTTGCACAACAAGAAGGTAAGCAACATACATCTTCATTCCTGTGCATTGGTGCAAATCCTTATACCGTTCTAAATTCTTCATATTTAGGGGGAAAACGTATTAATTCTTTAGTATATGGAGGTAACATATATGAATATCCAAAGAAAAAAACAATTGCAACAACAAAACCTTATTTCCAAAAAAACTATATCTATAATATATTAAATATCGCATCAAGTGAAAATCATTTTCTGGACGATTTTAACCCTGTTACAATTTAATTATTTCAATAATACCTTACTTTTCGTTTTTCAATATATATTTAATTGAATATTAATTATTAAACATGCACGCAAATAAATAATTGAATTATATAAGAACAATCAAATTGATTCATGAATATGAAATTTAATTAATTTGAATCAATGAATATATCTATAATATATTAAATAACGCATCAAGTGAAAATCATTTCTTGAATGATTTTAACCCTACTACAATTTAATTATTTCAATAGTAACTTGCTTATATAAAATAGTAGATTGATGGGGCCCCCAAAACATATAAAATGTACATGCATGAATTTGAAGAATTAATTGATTGAATTATAGTATAATATATATAAATTAATGTTAATTATTATCATAAACGTAAATAAATAATTGAATTGTATAAAAAGTTCATTCACATAAACTGTTTTTTTAACTATTTTTTATATTCACTGATTTTCAAATATCATTTTTCCAACGTTTATGAAGCGTTTCAAAATAACGTGCAATGCACGTTTAACTGTTACTAGTAAAATAATAAAAAATAAGAATTTTAAGTTTTCTCCACTACTCCTGCGGCTACCTCAATTTTCATTTTAGGTGGAGATGAGAAAAATAGAAGAAAATTGAAGGTCCATACAAAAGTGAAAAATAGAGTAAAGGGAAGTTAGTAGTGAGGAAGGGGGGGAAAAAAAAAGAGGGACGAAATGAATAGCGCAAGGTCGAGGAAGCATTGAATTGTAGGAACTGACGATAGATGGAGCAAAGGGAATTAAATAAAAATAAACAAAAAAAATGAGAAATTAAAGTTTTCTCAACTTTCCCACCGCCACCACCTCAGTTTGCTATTTCGTGCAAAGGGAGAGGAAAATAGAGAATAAGGAGGGTTTTATAAAAATGGAATAGAAAGTGGTAAAGGAAAGCCGATTGGAGGAAGGAAAGAAAGAGCGAAATTAGTAGTGGGGTTCAAGAATCATGAGGATGGTGAGAATAGATGACATACGGGGCAAATGAAAATGAATAAAAAAAAGAAATTAAAATTCTTTCCATCCTTCCTGCTGCCACAACTATTTACGTTGGCAACCTATGTAAAAGCTTGTTAGTTGATGCATTAATTTTCAATAATTTTATGGTCTCAAATAACAAATTAATGTTTCAATAACAAACTGACACATATGATGACTATTGCAGTCGCTGATTATGAATAACATTACTATAAAGGAAAATATAGTAAAGAAGCTAGATGGCGAGGAAAAAGGAATTATAGGGTAAAATTAATAGCACGGTCAAGGAATTATGGGGATGGCGAGAAAAAGAAGACAAATGAAGAAGANATGGTTACCAAACGGTGCCTCAGTTATGAATCAGTTATGACTCCACACTCACTGTAACACCATTAACAAATTTTGTTATTTATGTGCATTATTGTGGTAAAGTGGAACTCTACATAGGCAAACTACAAGAAATAGCACTTCAAAATCGGAAAACAGAAAAAAACTACACTCACTCAAGCCTCAACCTGATAGATGGAAAAGTAAACATAAATTGTTGTGAAAGCATACCACAAACATGAGCAATCATGTATGTCAACAAGGCATACGATGCAATGTTAAATGGAACTCCAAGACCCATGTCAGCTGAGCGTTGATACATTTGACAAGATAACTCCCCATTGGCCACATAAAACTGCAAAAGGAAATACGGAAGGAACACTTGAAGACGGGAACATTTCGGAAGCATCGAAAAACAACTATCATTGTAATGTTTGCAAATATATGCTTTGAAAAACAGTTGTTATACTAACTTGCGCAAACATGTGACAAGGTGGAAGGGCCATCAGTTTGAGATCAGAAGGATTCCAAGCTGAAAGTATAATCCGTCTATCATTAGGATTGTTTTTTATCTTGTTGATAACATCCATCAGCTGATCAAATCCTTGACCAGTATAGTCAGCATGCATGTCAGTATACCTGTGGTCAAAATTCAACCAAGTGAAATTAAAGTTATGCTTTCCTAGAAAGCATGATATAGAACAGCAACAGCATAAAAATATTCACCAACCTAGCACCAAAGTGTCTCCATTGGAACCCATATACTGGTCCCAAGTCACCCACTTCCCTCTCAGTCAA